ACCCGCCTCAGCCTCCCAGAGTCTTGAGACCGACTTGAGCAACATAGTGAGAACTTCCCCCTCAAACTGCCAAAAGGCAAAGCCTGTGAGCCCAGCTGTTGGGGAGGTTGAGGGAGCAGGATCGCTTGAGCCCAGGAGGTCAAGGTTGCAGTGAGCCATGATTTATCGGGAGAACCGGCTCCCGATGTTTAACGTGGGTTCTTTTCTATTTCCTAAGTGTTTCGGCTGGGTTGAGAAATAAAGGGAAAGAGCACAAGAGAGAGAAATTTAAAGCTGGGTGTCCGGGGGAGACATCGCATGTCGGCAGGATCCGTGATGTTTCCCGAGTGGTAAAACTAGCAAGTTTTTATTAGCTACTTTCAAAAGGGGACGGAGTGCACGAATAGGGTGTGGGTCACAGAGATCACATACTTCACAAGGTAATAAAATATCACAAAGCAAATGGAGGCAGGGGGAGATCACAGGACCACCGGATGAGGTGAAATTAAAATTGCTAATGAAGTTTCGGGTATGCATTGTCATTGATAACATCTTATCAAGAAACAGCGTTTGGGGCCGGGCGCGGTGGCTCAAGCCTGTAATCCCAGCACTTTGGGAGGCCGAGACGGGCGGATCACGAGGTCAGGAGATCGAGACCATCCTGGCTAACACGGTGAAACCCCGTCTCTACTAAAAAATACAAAAAAACTAGTCGGGCGAGGTGGCGGGCGCCTGTAGTCCCAGCTACTTGGGAGGCTGAGGCAGGAGAATGGCGTGAACCCGGGAGGCGGAGCTTGCAGTGAGCTGAGATCCGGCCACTGCACTCCAGCCTGGGTGACAGAGCAAGACTCCGTCTCAAAAAAAAAAAAGAAACAGCGTTTGAGAGAAGATAACCTGTCTGACCACAATTTATTAGGTGGGAGTTTTCTCATCCTAATAAGCCTGGGAGCACTATAGGAGACCGGGGCTTATTTCATCCCTTCGGCTTCGACCATAAAAGATGGGATGCCTTAAAAAGGGGCCAAGGCCGTCTATAGGCCTACCTTCAGGGTGCATTCTCTTTCTCAGGGATGTTCCTTGCTGAGAAAAAGAATTCAGCGATATTTCTCCTATTTGCTTATGAAAAAGGAGAAATATAGCTCTGTTCCATCTGGCTCACCAGCGGCCAGTTCAAAGTTACCTCTCTTGTTCCCTGAACATCACTGTTATCCTGGTTTTTTTTAAAGATGCCCAGATTTCATATTGTTCAAACACACATGCTCTAGAATTTGTGCAGCTGATACAATCACAGGGTCCTGAGGCGACATTCATACTCCTCAGTTTACAAAGATGATGAGATTAAGTGATTAAAGTAAAGACAGGCATAGGAAATCACAAGGATATTCACTGGGGAAGTGGTAAGTGTCCATGAAATCTTCACAATTTATGTTCAGAGATTACAGTAAAGACAGGTGTAAGAAATTATAAAAGTATTAATTTGGGGAACTAATAAATGTCCATGAAATCTTCACAATTTATGTTCTTCTGCTGCGGCTTCAGCCAGTCCCTCCATTTGGGGTCCCTGACTTCCCGCAACAATGATTGCACCACTGCACTCCAGCCTGTGCAACACAGCAAGTCCCTGTCTCAAAAAAAAAAAAAAAAAAAAAAGTCTTCCAAGCAGAAGGACCCCCAGCTCAGTGCATAAATGAGAATAAGAGACAACATTACACAATGGTCAACTAAATGATCTTTCATCAGAAATTTGCAAGATAACAATATGGAAAAATCTGTGGTTCTCAGTACGGGACAACTCTGACACACCCCTCCCCATCATCCAGACTTCTGGTGGTATGTGGAGATATCTTTGGTTGTTCTGATCTGGGGGATGCTACTGTGGGGGATGCTACTGACATCTAGCACGTAGAGAATGTTGCTAAACGCTCTACAATGCCCAGAATAGCTCCCTACAACAAAAAATTACCCTGGCCAAAACTGTCAATAGTGTCAAGGTTGAGAATTCTGCTCTCACAAATTCCACTGATCATCTTTGAAAGTGTACACTTGACAACTGTAAACCAAACCCGAATGTGAGAACGACAAATAGAAAGTAGTTGAAAAGCCAAAATACTAAAACCATTGCTCAGTATTAGTCATCTTTCCTCTATCTACCCTTTTGGACTTCTGAACAGAACAGCTGGTAGCACTGGGGTGGATAAATGAAAGAGGAAGTAATTTGCAAATCTGTGGTTTCAAATGAAAATGTTGCAATCTATATACATACGCAGGCTGTTGATGATTTGAATGAACTGCTAAAATGGTTCTAAGTTTGCTTTATAATTTATAGGTTTGAGAAAAATGAGATACCTAATATTATCAAAATTAAGAAACCCTAGCAATCTTAACAAAACTTGGTAGAGATGTGAAATCAAATACTGTATCAGCAAATTCATACCACTGGCCCAACTGAGGGCTGTATTTGCTAGGAGCTCCACCTTCCCCATTGCTGGTTCCAGGATGCATCCACTGGAGTGGGGACAGTGGTCTGGATCTCACTTCTAGTTCTGTCCCTCACTGATTAGGTAACCTAGGACAAGTCATAATCTTTCTATACTTCTATCTTTACATGTGTTACACAAATTTTTCTTCCAGCTAACTTTCTATAATTCTAAAGAGGTCATATAAATGACTAAGGCTCTTTTTGTTGTTGTTAAAAACAGGGTCTCATTTGCTCAGGCTGGTGTCTTGAAATTCTGGCCTCAAGCAATTCTCTGGCCTCAGCTTCCCCAAAGTGCTAGGATTACAGGCATGAGCCACTAGGCCCAGTCAGGCTCATACACTTAATCCTGCTCTCTATTCTCACTCTAAATTATGCTTTCCTTTGAAATATGTTTTATGTTCTCTTTTCCCCTTCAAGGTTCTCCAGGATATTTTATTTTGATTCCCCTCTCATTTAAAACAAAAAGTTTCAATAGGGAAGTATGCATCCTCTAAAAATGACACAAAAATAACTATTTCATATAAATGGCTTTATTCAACCAAGAACATTAATGTTATCTGATATCCTTTTTTTTTTTTTGAGACTGAATCACCTAGCCTGGAGTGCAGTGGCACATTCTTGACTCACTGCAATCTCCACAATTTTTTTTTTTTAAGTATAGACAGAGTTTCATCATTTTGGCCAGGCTAATCTCGAACTTCTGACCTCAAGAGATCCCCCCGGCCTCAGCCTCCCAAAATGCTGGGATTACAGGCGTGAGCTACCACACCCAGACGTTATTTGTTATCTTTATTTCTTTTTGAGACAGAGTCTCACTCTGTTGCCCAGGCCGGACAGAGTACAGTGGCGTAATCTCGGCTCACACCAACCTTCGCCTCCTGGGTTCAAGCGATTCTCCTGCCCCAGCCTCCCGAGTAGCTGAGATTACAGGGGCCCGCCACCACACCCAGCTAATTTTTGTATTTTTAGTAGAAACGGGGTTTCACCATGTTAGCCAGGCTGGTCTCGCACTCCTGACCTCAGGTGATCACCCGTCTTGGCCTCCCAAAGTGCTGGGATTACAGGCCTGAGCCACCATGCCTAGCCTGTTATTTCAAAATGATGTGATACCCTATAATGCAGAAATGAGTCCTTTTTGACTACCATATTATCACAAAAGTTTAAAGAGTATGTACCAGAGGTATAACCAACTTTATAAAGTGATTTTGGCATTATGGATCAAATAGGGTCAAAATTCAGGAAGGAAACAATCACAATTTTTTTTTTTCGAGATGGAGTCTCGCTCTGTTGCCAGGCTGGAGTGCAGTGGCACGATCTCAGCTCACTGCAAACTCCGCCTCTCGGGTTCAAGCGATTCTCCTACCTCAGCCTCCCAAGTAGCTGGGACTACAGGTGCGTGCCATCATACTCAGCTAATTTTTGTATTTTTAGTAGTGACGGGGTTTCACCATGTTGGCCAGGATGGTCTCGATCTCTTGACCTCGTGATCTGCCCGCCTCGGCCTCCCAAAGTGCTGGGATTATAGGCATGGGCCACCGCACCCAGCGAACAATCATGATTTTAAAAAACATGTCAAGGTCATTTAAAATATTTAAGACATAGAGAAACTATTACTTTCTAGAATGAAGCATTTTTATTACGCACACATACACAGACACACACACTTTCAGGAGATAAGGTAAAGAACTAAAACATGAACGTAAGTGACTGGTAATTCCAACACTACAGGGATAAATACTATAAACACAATGAATGCAATTAAACTTCAGCTAACCAAACCAAATACATGTTTCTAGCTTTAGTAAAAGACAAACATACAAATATTGAAAACACAAGCAGAAAGAATAAAACTTTTCAATGTTCAAGAAACATTAGAAGTGTTTTAAATTAACTGATCTTAAGCCTGTCCTGGGCCTAGAAAGTCTGATTAAGCTGGCCTGGTAAGGGGCATAGAAATATTCTTAAATTTTTTATTTTTTCTTTAGGCAGGGTCTTGATCTGTCACCTAGATGGGAGTGCAGTGGTACAACCATGGCTCATGAAGCCTCGACCTCCACAGCTCAAGTGATCTTCCCACCTCATTTTTTTATTTTTTGTAGAGATGGGGTCTCCCTATGTTGCCCAGGCTGGTCTCAAACTCCTAAGCTCAAGTGATCCTCCCACCTCGGCTTCCGAAAGTGCTGGGGTTACAGGCATGAGCCAGGGCGCCTGGCCTTAAATTTTTTTATTACTATTTTTTAAAGATATTCCAATGACCCTGATGATCAGTGAAAGCTGCTATTTTAAAACACAAAGCTCATATAAATTTGGCATATATTAAGGCTACTATGCCATGTATAGCAAAGGCATTTAAATTGAGCCTGAAAAATGCTGAAAAATACGTCTTTACCAGTGTTAGAAGCCATTGATAAAACTTCTTTCATGAGGTCTAGAGAGGTTCTCAACGGGAAGTCAGAAGAAGAGGCTGAGCACACACCAAACCAAATAGGAGATAACCATCGCGAGGCTGGGTGAGGGGCTAGCATGGTGCAAAGCTGGTTACCTTCTCAAAGTGCAGTCGAGACAGAAGCACTGGGCTGTTGGACTGAGGACTCTTGTTGTAAGAGGGGCAGTACTTATCAGGGTCTCTCCATTCCGGGAGCCGCTGCTGGCCCCGCCGATCCTGGTAGGCGCAAGCTCTCGTGAGAACATCTCTAGGTAAGTGACAGGATGTTCGCCCACACATTCTTCAACACCGTCCCTCGCAACCTTTAAATTACAAAAGGTAAGGAAAAGGCTTACATATCTCAAATATTAGGTCTTATTCCTTGAGTCCCCGCCTTCTCTTTCCGTTCCCACAGGGCCGTGCCCCTCTGTGACCACAGTCTAAAGTCTTCCCCAAGAAGTCCCACAAGGACAAGGATGTGCCCATTTGCTTCGCTCCCTGAGCTCACTGCCCAACTCCGTGCAGGGCACTGAGGCAAGTCCCCAGAGGAGCTCTGCAAAAGCCTCCCTGAGCGCAGGGAAGAGTCGCAGCGGAGGGGGCTTCGCGGTCCAACCAAGCAGGGCAAGCGCAGCTAGCAGGGGTCGCCTCCTCCGGGTGACTCGGTGCCCCCAACTCCCGGTCCTTCCCCCGAGTCCCCGCTGGGGTCAGCGCCCCACGCCTGCCAGCACCCGCTTACCTCGAGGGCGGCCACTGGACGGCCCGGGGCCGGGGTGCAGAATCCCCGCCTCCCGCCCGCAGCGTCCCCGGGCCCGACCCGCGAAACTGGGCCGCGGATCCCGCTCCGGACACTGCTCCCCGGAGCGGGGGCCGGTTCTCGGGGAGCAGGTGGCCCCCAGCCACCGGCCGCAATCCCTCGCCCCTCCCCTCCGCTCCGGCCCTCAGACTCCACCGCCCCGAGTTGCCTCACTTCGGCCCAGGCCGCCCTCTCCGCGTCGCCTCGCGTCCGCTCGGGCCTCCGCTCCCCTCTGTCAACCCGCGTCGCGTCCTTACCCCTCCTCTCCCCTCCCCACACCCCGGCCGCCCGCGTCGCCTTCCCTCCCCTCACCTCGCCCCGGCAGCACGCTTCACCTCCCTCAGCTCGCGTCACCTCCTTTGGCTCTCCTCACCGCTTCTCAGCTCCCTTCTGGCCGCCCGCCTCACCGCCCCTCACGTCAGCCCCGCCTCAGCCCGCGCTCCGGGCGCTAGGCCCCGCCCCCTCAGGGGGCCCTTGGTTCTCTCCGCACCCTCGGGCACCGGAGGCGGCGTCTTCTCCCTTCCGGTTTGGGATGAATCTTTTCCCGTTTCCCCAGGAGACAGTGACTGCCTTGGGGAATGCATCCATCCCAAGCTTCTCGGGACTCCACTTTCTTCCATATTGGCCGTTCCCTGGCGGGGTTAACCTTCCTCCCCGCCCCCAGCGCGCCTCAGGGCTGCCGACGGGGAAGGTTCCCGCCGCCCTGAGTCTAGGGCACAGGGTCATCGAAGGCGGGAAACCAGGAAACTCCACTCCTTACTTCACGAAAGTCCTGCCAGCCGTCTCACAGTGCGAGGCAAAAATGGAGGAACACTGAATAAATGGAAGTCTGGAGAACTTTCAGGAATCGCGCACTTAGCCCTCAAACGATGGTGTACACTAGAATGAGCCTTTTCTGTCCCCGCACCCCAGCCCGCCAGCTGAATCTCTAAGGGTGAGGCCCAAATTTTTAAAACAGTCCTTACGGGTGTACTTTGGCCTCAAAGTTGGTAAAATAACCTGGCTTGAGTTTAAAAGCCTGCTCCCCTTGCGACCTAAACCGGAGATTTCTTTATCTGCAACCAACAGAGAATACTCTAGAGGGCTGTTCTTCGCCTATGCTGATTCGCTGAACAGGCAGCAGCAGGGCACACTCCACGTAGGACCTGATGCTGGAACGGCCACAGGACCCAAGCCCTTTGGAGCCTCCGTTTATCGACTATCAGAGGAGGATGCGTTGCGAAGAAGCACGAGTGGGAGGGAGTGGGAACTCAGTGCCTGTTAGCTGATTCACTCAACCAACCTGTACCGCTCCCACCCCTGGGCTTGGTGCTGGGACAGCGATGATGACGGCGAGAGGGTCCTGCCTCACAGGATTAAAACAGCCAGAGGGCTGTGGGTACAAGGGGGACAGGGCACGTGTTCTGCCTCTTGGGGGAGGCCTTGAAGGGGAAGGTGTAGCAATCATTCAATAAATACATGCTGATTTATTAGAGGGATAAGATGGTTTCTTGGGGGATAAATTCAAGAGGAGTCGAGAATGTTTTATTCATTTACAATGTCCCTTTCCTGGAAGGGAGGATAGCAAGATTTAGGACAAGCTAAAATCATTCCCTATTGAAAAAAAAAAAAAAAAAAAAGGCACCCCCAAGTAGTCCCGGGTGGGGGGTAGGGACAGAATAAAAAAAAAAATCTGCAATGATTCCTAATTGTTTTTGAATACAGAAGCTTGGGAAGGGGTTTCCGCCAGTTTCATGAGGAAGGCACAACTTCCAGGTAGTGTTGGGGGGGAAGGGCGTAAGGTCCTATGCAGGCTGGCCCCTTATCCCACAGATGCCAAGATGATGTCTACTGGCAGCTCCTCCAAACTTCTGGCTGTCACCTGCATTGTCACTGTGTCCAAAAGCAGCAGCCGGGAGCGCACCAGGATGTCATGACCACCCCGGAACACACCTAGAAGGGAAGACAGAAGTACAGGTATATACGGCAGAAGGGATTGTACAGGGCAGGCTAAGGATGGCATTTGCAGCAGCCCATCAAGACAGCTGTGGTGTAGTGAAATGGGCAGGGGAGCTGGGCTGAAATCCCTGAGTGAGGGATTTCACTGTGAAAGTCACTGACTCTCGGCTGGGCACGGTGGCTCACACTTGTAATTCCAGCACTTTGGGGAGCCGAGGTGGGTGGATCATGAGGTCAGGAGTTTGAGACCAGCCTGGCCAACACAGTGAAACCCCATCTCTACTAAAAATACAAAAATTAGCTGGGCATGGTGGTGGGCGCCTGAAATCCCAGCTACTCGGGAGGCTGAGGCAGGAGAATCACTTGAACCCGGGAGGCGGAGGTTGCAGTGAGCAGAGATTGTGCCACTGCACTCCAACCTGGATGACACAGCTAGACTCCGTCTCAAAAAAAAAAAAAAAGTCACTGTCTCTCTGGGCTTCAGTATCCTCAACTACAAAACGGCGGGGATGATAATACCATATTCAGGCTTCTGTTAAGTTCAAATGAATTGATGGACATAAAAGGCTCGTATCTGACGTCACATAGGCTCTTGCATGTTGGCTGAATCTGACAGCACAAATGAAGGGGACAGCCCCACCACGAGAAAACCACAGGGCAGGTGTCTGCAAGACCCAGGGGACTGGGTTGTTTCAATGTGGCTACAAACTGTCAGCTGTCGACAGGGTACTGAAGCAGAGCCTCCTTTCAACCCTGTTTATAAACACTTAGCCAAAAAAAATCATCCCATTTCCTTTTGTTAACTGTTTTAGGTATGATAATTGTATTGTCCTTTAAAAAAGGGCAGGGGTCATTATCTCTTAGAGAAACAAAGATACAGAAGAATTTACATATAAAATGCTATTTCTGGAGTTTGCTAGTAAGTAATCTGGGAAGGAGAATGAGTGCAGGTACACTCAGCCAACCCTGTAGAAAATAAGACAAAGGATATGAAGACAGTGATCAGAAAAGGAAATACAAATGCCTCAACATTTGAGAAGATACTTAACTTCAATGAAAATACAAAAACTACACTAACATATCATTGTCCACACAGACTGGCAAAGATCATAAAGTGTGGTAACATATTGTGTTGTCCACAGTGTAGGAAAAAAGGTATACAATTCTATGAAAGGCAACTTGGAGTTATTTATCAAGATGAGAAACACAAATCACTTTGACCTGGTGATGCCTTGGAAAATTTATCCTACAGATATTCTCAGTGTACACATGCAAAGTAAATTGTGTGTGTGTGTACACGATTATTTACTGTAACATCTGTAATAGCAACAGATTGAAATCAAACTAAATGTTCATCAGTAGCGGCTGTTCCATAGAATATGTGGTGCATCCACACAATGGAATACTAAGCAGCTATAAAAAAAAAAAAAAAAAAGGATTCAGTTTGGGATGAAAAAAGTTCTGGAGATGGATAGTGGTCATAGTTTTACAATAGTGTATGTACTTAATGCCACTGAACCACACACTTGAAAATGGCTGAAATGGTGAATTTTATGTATATTTTATCACAATTAAAAGAAAAAGAATGAGGAAGCTCTACATATTGGCAGGAAAGATCTCTTAAGATGCATCGTAAAGTGAAAAGCAAATTGCAGGACAATATACCATTTGTACATAAACATTTGAGTTAAAAAAAGGAAATGTGTTCCTATCAGCTTTTATAGCAATAAAATAACTGCAAGGTTATACAGGCATTGTTTCTAATAGTAACACTGGTCGTTTCTTGGAAGGGAATCTCAATGGCTGGCAGCCAAGGTAAGGAGGAAACATTTTGCTGCAGATTATTTTATAGTTTGCGAATTTTAAATGCTGTGAATTTTGACTCCCCGTATTTACAGTTAAGTCCTTAGCTCAGGATCCAGTGGACATCCAGGCTGTAAGCTATCCAGGCCCTCCCCACCTGGAAATGCCACTTACCAGCCAGAAGCAACGTGTGGGTGTTCTTGTTATCCGGCACTTTGTCTGACCTCTCACAAGGGTGCATTCCCAAGAACTTCACAATATTACCCACAGCCTCTATAGTGAGAAATCCCAATATTGTTAAGCCATCTTGTCTGCCCTTTGTGCCACCACCACTCCCCCATGTTCTGAAGGGCTTTTAATGAAATGGCATTTGACATATGTGCCCCAGACATGGCCCTGGATCCTTGGAGAGAAAAGGTATAAGCACTTCAACAGTACCCAAAGATCTTGAACGGCAAGTAGGCCAGAGGTGGCATTCCCAGGATTTTACCTTCAAGTGTCTTGATGGTAGACAAGGTGAATGTTTCCTCCTTCTCAAATTCATCCCCTACCTCATCCCAGGCTGCTTCGAAGTTCAGTTTCATGACCTTTTGAATGTGATCAGCTACAGTAACTTCCAAATCTTCCAGCTGGAGAGATGGAGATAGAAATCAAGCACCCATCCACACACTCTGCTCTGAACTCATCCACACATCCCTTCCTGCAACTCTTTCTGCAGGTGCTTGCTCGGCACTGAGGACTGTGCTAGACTCTGGGGACACAGAACAACTTGACCAGGTACCTATCCTTGAGGTGCCCACAGGCAAGTGGTATCCCTTCAACAGAAAATGCCCTAATCCCAAGTACCAATCTACTAACTCATCCTAGAGCTGCCTGCTGTGAGATCACATCTCTTCTAAGCCTGCCTAGTGTCAGTGCTTCCAGGATCTGGCATACAGGGAATTACATAGCATTCTCAGAGGTCTGCTTCCTATGCCTGTCATTTCTAGGGGATGATGAGCTCTTCAGGAGCAGCAGCTGTTTCTAGTTCAGCAGAAACCTCCTACCCCAGCTGTGTCCTCTGGATTTGACAGATCCTGAATCTCTGTCTCCATTTCAGCTGTGTCTTCTCTGAACTTGACACATAATACTCCCACTGAGTCCACATGAAGGTTCCCCATTCGTTCTCCCATCAGATTTTCACTGAGGTCCTACTCCTGTGGATGTTTACAGTGTATATAAATACAACTTCGACCCAGCTCTTTTTTTTTTTTTTTCTATCATCTCTGGGTGGGCTCAAACAGACCCAGCTCTCTCAAGGAGCTCACTTGGTCTTAAAGCAGCTCCTGCCTCAGGGTCATTTCCAGCTTAAGGAAGGTCCATTCATCCTCAACTGTGACTCTAGGATGACACAATGGTGAATGTCAGCTGTATTCCACCATGACTGTCCCTCTAGTCAGGAGGAGTTCTAACAATCCCCATCCACAGGCTGAGCATAATGGTCTGCACTCAGATGGCCCTGAGCCACTGCCCCAAGGTCAGACCCCAGAAGGATCCTGTACTTAGTTCCATCGAGCTAAGATAGGAGAATTTAGAAGGGCTATTCCAGTCCATGAAAGGACTGCCCAGCACAGCAAACAGGTCAAATGTATCCAGAAAGCATTTGACAAAAGGAATCAAAATGTCTTAAAATCATGTTACCCTTTGACCCAATTATTCTCCTTCTAGGAATCTATCCTAAAGAAATAATCTAAAATGCAGATAAAAATTTGTATCTAAAGGGATATTTAGTGCAGCATTATAAATAGTGAAAATATGGAAACCCAAATGCCCAACATTCAAGGAGTGAAAGGTCAATCAAGTTTTGACATAGTATATAACAGTATTTTAAATCCACTAAAAAAAATTGTGTTTATGAAGTATTTGTAATGACACTGGAAAATACACTATGGTTTTAAAATAGCAAGGTCTACATTATAAGAATGATTCCAATTATACCACTGCCCCCCAAAAGTAACTCTGAAGATTATGAGTAATGTTTTCCTGTTGTTCATACTTTGGTTTTGTATTTTGTTTTTGTATTTCCCAAGTTTTCTTTTTACACATGAACATGTATTTCCGTAAGTTTAAAAAGTTATTTTAGGCCAGGCGCAGTGGCTCACGCCTGTAATCCCAACACTTTGGGAGGCCAAGGTAGGTGTATCACCTGAGGCGAGGAGTTCGCGACCAGCCTAGCCAACATGGTGAAACCCTGTCTCTACTAAAAATACAAAAAATTAGGCAGGCATGGTGGCGGGCGCCTGTAATACCAGCTACTTGGGAGGCTGAGGCAAAAGAATCACTTGGACTCGGGAGGCAGAGGTTGCAGTGAGCCGAGATCACGCCATTGCACTCCAGCCTGGGTAACAAGAGAGAAACTTCATCTCAAAAAATAAAATAATAAAATAAAATTTTGAAGAGCTAAAAAGTCAAAAACAGTTCCAGTCTGTCTGTCAGTTCCTGAAGGGAGTTGCTTTGCAGCCTCAGCACAAAACTGAGCTTCCTGACACCAGGCTCTTACCACATACTCATCCTCATAGCCTTCGTCATCGGTCTCCCCAGTGGTGGGATCACAGTCCTTGACAGTGAACTTCATCATGCAGCTGAATGTGCAGGCCACTGTGGGGAAGAGAGACTGGGTAGTTAGGAAGTCCCCAGACTGCAGGGGACGGGCTCCTCCTGCAGGGAACAAGCAGGCAGGGGTCACAGCCTGCTTTCTAGGCCCCTGCTATGTTATTAGTAGCAGCAACAAGCCATACAATCCTACAAAGCTGGACAGAGGGCGCCACCTTGTAGGACAGTAAAGTCAAGTCATGAGTTCTAGTGAGATCCTGTCTCTTTAAAAAAATTTTTTTAGGCCGGGCGCGGTGGCTCAAGCCTGTAATCCCAGCACTTTGGGAGGCCGAGATGGGCGGATCACGAGGTCAGGAGATCGAGACCATCCTGGCTAACACGGTGAAACCCCGTCTCTACTAAGAAATACAAAAAATAGCTGGGCGAGGTGGCAGCGCCTGTAGTCCCAGCTACTCGGGAGGCTGAGGCAGGAGAATGGCGTGAACCCGGGAGGCGGAGCTTGCAGTGAGCTGAGATCCGGCCACTGCACTCCAGCCTGGGCGACAGCACGAGACTCCGTCTCAAAAAAAAAAAAAAAAAAAAAAAAAATTTTTTTAAAGAAGAGCATTTGGGACTTAGCTATTCTTCTTGGGACTGAAATCAAGGAGCTGAAGCTCTAATAAAAGGCAAACAGCTGGTGCCCAGTCGCCCACCTCCTGATCCCATGAGCTCCCATGAGGATAGGGTGGTATCTGGAGAGGGTCTCACCAGCTGTGGGGTCTTCTTTGGGCAGTGCCACCAGTGTGTAGCAGGTCCCAGGCTGGTTGTAGGGCAGGCTCCGGGCAGGCACATAACAGAGCACCTCATAGGCCTCAGTGGGCTCCATCTGCACTGTGACATTCTCCAAGGTCTGGTCATTGAGTGTGTTTGTGCAGTCAAACTGAACAGGGAAGAGAGGGGAGCTTAAACATTGCTCTAGGTCTGAGCCATGCTGCAGAGGAAGAGCCAGGAGGTCCCACCTCTTTCCTGTTGACCAAGGTGATTCCCATCCCAGGCCCCCTGCTCCAGGCTCCCTGTCTCCATGCTGATAATCAGGAGCCATGGAGGCCCTGGGTCAAGAGATATGTGAGACAGGCATGTTGGGGACAGATTCTGTCATCAAGTTGGGCTCCCAACCAACGCAGTGTGGGGACCCATGTCCCTACAGGACCTGCCAGACCTGGGACAACTCCCTGGGCGCATGCCCCAGCAGTTGCTCACCTGAAAAACCATGTGGTTGGTGAAGGTGTGTTTGGTGCAGCGGATGACATACTCCGTCTCTGACTCAGTGAGGGCCACGGGCTCAGGCGAGGACTTGAAGAGGGGCCCAAGTCCCCGGAACTCTGGCACCGCCGCCAACTGCTCTGAAATCCACAGGCCACATTCACTCAGCTTCTAAATCCCCAGACCAACTTGTGATGGTTTCTAATAAATTCCCATGACCATTCTCAAGGTGTTCCACCTACCTTAGATGGATAAATATGTTTACCCAACTGGCTACTCATTATTTCCTGAATATATCCATGCATTTTCTCATCTCCCTGACTTTGCTCATGTGATACAACCCCCAACAAATACTCTCCCCATCTCTGTACCATGAAAGCCCTCAGAAGCAAAACACTGATATGAGACCACAAAATCCTAGACCTAATTGGAGATTCCCCCAGTTTTAGAAGCTTAGCAAGGATTTCCACCCCCTACCTCAGCAAGGATTCTTAAAAGAAGGTGACAATTAGGAAAGTAAGATCAATTAGGAAAATAAGATCGATACTGCTATAGCTACAAAATCAGACAAAGTAACAAACTGGTCCTATATATTTGTCAGTTAAGACAAATGGCCAATAAAGAGATATTTCAGAATGAGAGTGTTGCAGAAAACCCAACTTAGAATGGTCTGTGTCTGGTTAAGACCTATGCCTACACCCTATGGCCAGGTTCAAGCACTGGATTTAAGCACAGGCCCATGGGACCCCACCCTGGCTGGTCCTGGCATTCCTTGCAGACTAAAGGGAATAACCCAAGTGAATGAGGCATCTGGTAGATGTGTGCACATGGTGTCCACCTATAATGGCTACAGCTACCACTCTTGCACCTATTCTATGGCAGGATTCCTTGCACTATGACCATGGATCACCTGTATCAGAATGACTAGGGGTTGGCGGTAGAGCTTGCTAAAAACTCAGATTCCGTCCCAAATCTACTACATCAGAATCTCTGGTTTCAGGATCAAGGAATTTGCATTTCTAATATGTTTCCTCAGATTATTCCAATATATACTGATATTTGAAGACCACTGCTCTAAGATTCTCAACTTGTCTTCCCAATTAATTGAACTCCATTAGAACAGGAATTGTGCTTTGAGGCCAGGGATCTGATATTTTTCCCTGTACTTAGAAGGTACTCAATTCACGTTTCAGACATAGAGAAAGGTGGGCCTCATTGTTATTATTTTGCTTTTTTCCTCCACAAAAAGTCGGCCTATGCGACTGCTTCAGCCCTCTGCAGCCTGAAGACTGAATCTAATGAACACGCAGGCAATAAAAAGCCCAGAACAATCTAGGCTAGATATTAGGAGCAACTTTTGGGCCACCATGACCATCAACCACCAAAGTGCTTTTCTATTGCTATTTATTTTATTGGGAGTCAGAGTTTTGGCCTGATACTTACTACCTGGGGGATTCTGCTGATAGGGTTTCAGACTCTTCTTCAATAAAACTGATACAATGATCTTGATCACAGTGTTGTTGTAAAGACAAATGAGGCAATAAATGTCAAGATCTAGGAAAGTTCTTGGAACTGGACATGTATGTGATTAGTAAATGTGAGGCTTTTGGATGATTGTTTAAAAATGGAATTGTTACCCTTAAAGGGGCTTAGGAGACTTCCTTGGAAGGTGTGGCAGAATAATGACCCCAAGATGCCCACAAGCTAATTCCCCAAACATGCAACTATGTACCTTGCATGGTAAAAGGGACTTTGTAGATGTGATTAAATTAAGGATCTTGAGCCAGGGGTTATCCTGGATTATCCGGGGGCGGGGGCAGTGTAATCACAAGGGCCCTTCTAGGCAGAAGGTCAGAGTAGAGAGATTTGAAAAGGTCCGGAGTGTGGCCTCTTCAGATCACTCTACTCTGACCTTTTGCCCTAGAAGGGCCCTTAAAGATGGTGGAAGGGGCCACGAGTCAAGGATACAGGTCACATCTAGCAGCTGGAAAAGGCAAGGGAGCAATTCCTGCAGCCTCCTGAGAGAACTCAGCACTGCTAACAAATGAAACCCACTTTGGACTTCTGACCGCAGAGCTATAAGGTTATAAATGTGTTAAGCCACTAAGTTTGCGGTAACGTGTTACAGCAGCAATAGAAAACTGATATAAATGAAAAGTTTCATGTTACAGTGATCCCAATTAGCTCAGGATCCATGCTATATTGATAGAAGACATGATTCTGAATGGAATGGGGAAGGGGGGATTTCATTTAATTCAACACTGATTGGGAGCCTACTGTGAGGAAGGCAGGCACTGGGCTCAGTGCTGTGATAAACCCAGAAAATAAAAGACAGAATATGTGACGAACTATTTAGCACAGAGAACTGTTTAAGAGAAGATAGAAGAGCTAGGATGGAAGTAAGGGCCCATGAAGGAAGAGGGGTCTATGCTAGTCCCTGAGTAGGAATTCAGTGGATAAAACAATCTGCAATTAGACACACAGCCTCTCCCCTTAAAAATGCAACACCAGAGGATAGATGGATACCTGAAAAAAACCTTACAAGACAATGTGGACAGAACACACGTGGAACCCGAAAAAAAGTACCACTGTCTTTGAACCCCAGCACTGCTCTATCAGATATTCTGAACTGGCCTGGGTTCCAGGGACCTGAGCCCTCCAAATTGAGGCCCAGTAGCAGCACTGAGCCAGTTTGATCTGGATCTTAATTCCAGCCGCTCCTACCACTTTCTCTCTCTGAACTTTCAATTCCTCAGATATTGAAGGAACCTAACAACCACCATCTGAGGGTCAAATGTGATACTAGGTCTAAAGCATCTCAAGGGCCCAGCACTCAGGAGAGACCAATAAATGACAGTTCTTACTCTTGATCCCCCTGAGGAAACTGAGCCCAGGTCCCAAGCACCCCCCAACCACTGTGACTCACCCTGGAAGATCTCCTGCCTGGTAGCTGCCACTTTCTCAGGCTGTTTGACTGCTGTGATGGGGGTGCTTTCTGCAGGAGCAAATTATACACATGATGACCAACGGCTGCAGTCATGGGGCAGTGTGGTGGTGACCCCAGCGCTGTTACTCAGGGATTATGAATACTAACCCTCCTGAGAGTGGAAAGCACAGGACATGTGAGAGAGCACACATCTGTGTGTATGTGTGTCTCTATTTTTGGGAGCCAGAGGCGGAAAGGATTATTTCCTCCTCCCAGCATAACTCCCACCCGTCCCAGTTAGGTTTAGTCGCTTTGCAGCCAATGCAGACCCTCTGACAGAGGCCTGGCCTTGATGGCCTCTGGGAGGAGTATAGGTGTTACCTGTTCTCTGCTCTGCCATGGGCGCTGTGGCCAGGGGTACAGACTTGAGGTCAAAAGGTTTTTCTGATGGTTCTAGAGTGTACTGCTGCAGAGCCCTCTCCAGACCAGGAATGGACACAGTCAGACCTAGAGGCGAAGAGAGGTCACCATGTCTGGCAGACAGAGCAAAATGCGCACCAGGGACCACCATGGAGGCCCTGGATCCCGAAGTTACAAGTCCTAAGTGGTACGACCCTGAGAAAATCACTTTATTCTCTAAGCCTCTTCATTCTCAGATACATCCTCCCTTACAGGGTAGGTGTGAGGAATAAACATACACACGAAGTGACTTGTAAAGGGTAAAGTACTGTAAAAATAAAGTTTTTATTAATGATGAGAGTTTGAATTCACTGGACAATTTCCACCCACACTGGTGTGACCTGAATGACCCAGGACCTCCTGAGGTCACCGTGATGCCATGTGGTTACCAGGCAAGTCCAGCCAAGAGCATCTTGCCTCGGATTTCCCCTGCCCAGGGAGTGATGAGAAGAACCACAGCTCCAGTAAGGTGCTGAGTCCAAGGTAGCTAGGGAATGACTCACCATTTAGGATATAGCCTGCATTGAGGGCCTTCTGCTTCTGCTCCAGGACATTTAAGTAGAAGGTGGCTCGGTCCCTTACTTCGTTGTCATCATCCATCACACACCTGCAGCCAGGACACAAGGTGGTCCTGACTGGGGCCCAGCAGGGATGGCAGGAGGGATCCTGCAGGGCTTCATTAGAGGCAAATCCATAGGGATAACAAGTAGACTAGTGGTGGCCCCAGGCTGAGGGTGGAGGGAGTGAGGAGAGGCCACATTCATGAACATTGAGTTCCTTTTTGGGATGATGAAATGTTTTAAACCGAGGTTGTGGTGATGGCTCCATAACTCTGTGAATATGCTAAAACCCATCAAACTACACATCTTAAATGGGTAAATTGTATGGTATGTGAATTATATCTCAATAGATTTTTTTTTTTTTTTTTGAGATGGAGTCTCGCTCTGTCACCCAGGCTGGAGTGCAGTGGTGCGATCTCGGCTCACTGCGAGCTCCGTCTCCCGGGTTCACACCATTCTCCTGCCTCAGCCTCCCAAGTACCTGGGACTACAGGCGCCCGCCACCTCGCCCGGCTAATTTTTTGTATTTTTATTAGAGACGGGATTTCACCATGTTAGCCAGGATGGTCTCAATCTGACCTCGTGATCCACCTGCCTCGGCCTCCCAAAGTGCTGGGATTACTGAGCTACTGCACCCAGCCTCAATACAGCTATTTTTTTTAAGTGGGCAAAATAATTCAAGTTACCAATTGTCACATCTGGTTGGTGCGATTTGTACAGCATTATTTTTCATGCTTTTCTATGCTTTCTCTTTTTTTTCTACAATCAGTAGCTGTAACTTTTCTCTCCCTTCTCAGTTAAAAAAAATAAAGACAAAGGAAAGCTGCTTGAGTCTAAGGGAATATTGTTCCCATTAGGGCCCCTGGGCCTAGACTCACCTCTTCAGCAACACCAAGATACTGGGTAACATCTCTTCATTCTGGGCTCCAAACTTGGCCAGAGCACTCACAGCACCTGTGTTTAGGAAGCGAATGTGATTTACCCAACGCACCCTGACAACTCACTGGGCACTTCCAGCACTCAGAATGGGTCTTCAGGCAGAAGAGCCCCAGAGGCAAGAAGTCTCAAGCCAGAAGGCCCAAAGTCACTATCAACACAGTGAGTGGCTTTGGGTGGATCTTGGCGCCACCCCAGTCCTCAACTTCCTTATTTATTTAATGGAGAAGGGAGCCAGATGGGATCAGTAGCTCCCATTCTAAGGTTCCAGGAGCTATTTTCAAATTAACCATGATGAGGTCACAGAAGCTGGCTATAATGTAAAGCTCCTCACCTTCCATATCCAAATGGCGTCAATTTGCAGTTAAGGCTTAGAATAATATAAATGAGAAAGGGAAAAATTACTTAAAGATTATCAATTGTTGAAAGAAGAAAATCTGTCCAGTGGGGGCATGAAAAGAAATTAAAAATAAAGAATAGGATGGTGGCTCACTGAATTGTAAACTTACATAAATGCATGAATTTTATGGCATGTGAATTACACCTCAACAAAGCTTTTTTTTTTTTTTTTTGAGAAGAAGTAGCTGGGACTACAGGCGCCCGCCACCACACCCGGCTAATAGTTTGTATTTTTCAGTAGAGATGGGGTTTCACCGTGTTTGCCAGGATGGTCTCGATCTCCTGACCTCATGATCTGCCTGCCTTGGCCTCCCAAAGTGCTGGGATTACAGGCGTGAGCCACCACGCCCAGCAGCTTTCTTTTTTTTAAGCTAACAACATCAACGTATAGTCAAAGGTAAAAAAAAAAAAAACCACTTAAGGCAAGGCACAGTGGTTCTGTATCCCAGCACTTCAGAGACTGAGCCAGAGGATTGCTTGAGCTCAGGAGTTTGTGACCAGCCTGGACAACATATGCAAGAAACCCCAGTCTCAATTAAAAAAATCTTAAAAAAAAAAAAACAAAACACAACAAATATAGGGTTAAGAACCTGGCCTGAGCACGTGCTCAACACCTGTAATCCCAGCACTTTGGGAGGCCAAGGCGGCAGATGACGAGGTCAAGACGATCGAGACCCATCCTCGACAACCAATTGGTGAAACCCCAATCTCTCACTAAAAATACCAAAACATGAGCTTGGGCAATGATGGCAATGCCCACCTGTAGTCCCAGCCTACCTCGGGAGCTGAGGCAGGAGAATCGTCCCGACCGGGAGGCCGGAGTGCAGTACCGAAGCATCTCCACACTCGCTTCCATCCTGGTGACAGAGGGAGACCCCATCTTCAAAAATAAAACAAAACAAAAACAAAGAACCATTCAACTACATGACATGTAAGTCCTGCCTACGAATATTAAGAAAACAGCTTGTGCAGCAAAGAACAGATGAGTGCACAAGTCCCCCACTGGAGGCTCAGTCCCTTGCTGGGACATTTATTCAAGGGCAGTTAAGTTTCCAAATTGCAGCCCTGGCTCAGACCTACCTGCCCGGACCTCCTCAATGCTCCAAAAGACCACTCGGTTATAGATGAAGCGGATGTACTTTGAGGGGTTGGTGGTCTTGGGACCCTCCTGGGCCCAGAGATGTAGAATACGGGTGGCCAGCACTGTGAACTCGCAGTCCTCAATGAACTCGCACAGATGTGACAGCCCTGTCTCCTTGCTTCTCTGAGTCTCTCCTCAATGATGCTGATGATGCAGTCCACAATGGCGCGCTTTGTACTCCAAAAGCCACCCTGCAGAGAGAAGCTGAGCTGAGCAGCAGCCTGCTCTCTCCAGAAAAGAGCTCGAAGACCTGAGCTGGACCAAGTACAGTTGTCCAAACATAGAACTTGGAGACAGGGCACTTGGTTCTCTGGCCTCTATCACTCTTTCCTGTCAAACAAAAGCTGGTCAGGCACAATGGCTCACACCTATAATCAGCACTTTGAGAGGCTGACGTGGGTGGACAATTACCAAGAGTTCGAAATCAGCCTGGCAACATGGAGAGACCCCATCTCTACAAAAAATAGAAAAATTAGTTAGGCATGGTGGGCTTCCTGTAATTCCAGCTGCTTGGGGTCTGAGGTGAGACCGATTGCTTGATCCCAGGAGGTTAGGCTGCAGTAAGCCGTGATCATGCACCACACTCCAGCCTGGGTGACAGATCCAAGGTCGGGCACCAGTGGCCACGTCTGTAATCCAGCACTTTGGAAGGCCGAGGTGAGTGGATCACCTGAGGTCAAGAGTTTGAGACCAGCCTGGCCAACCATGGTAAAACCCCGTTCTCCTCATAAATTAAAAACCTTAGCCGGGCATAGTGCAGGCACCTATAGTCCCAGCTACTCAGGAGGCTGAGGCAGGAGAATCGCTTGAACCAGAGAGGTGGAGGTGCAGGAGCCAAGACCGCGCCACTGCACTCAGCCTGGACACGCAGAACACACGACTCCTACTCAAAGAAAAAAAAAAAAAACCGCTAATCCATTCATAGTGTCTCCAAAGTGCTAGACCTGGCCAGGCATGATGGCTCACACCTGTAATCCCAGCACTCAGGTGGCTAAGGTGGGAAGACCACTTACAGCCAGGAGTTCGAGACCAGCCTGGGCAACCCAGCAAGACCCTATCTCTACTTAAAAAAAGCAAACACAATCACCAAAGTGCCCGGCCCATTAGCTGACAACTCACTAAACATTAGTGCCTTCTATAACATTCTTGGGAAACGCAAAGACACTCAAGGCAATGGCTCCTCTACTGCCCAGTCCATGGGCCACTCTGGGGCTGGGTGAAAGGGGTACCATGTATCTGAGGAACCAAATCTACTCCATGAACATTTGCTATTGCTCCTAAGAATTAACCCGTTTTGTTGAGACATCCAAAAAAGGTGGCATATGTGAATCAGAATTCACATCAGGAACAGAAATAGAACCCATGTCGCATTATTAGCACCAGTTTCACAAGAAACCACCCCTCGAGCTCCTGGAATGGTCCGGAATATTTCTGCACTAGAGTCCACGAGAAAAGAACATGCATTTTCCCATCTTCTGCACAAGCATCACCTCAGGACATCCAGTTTTTAAAGTCAGGCTGGTGAGTCATAGTTATTACTGTAATTACTAGCAACTGGTACATGTTTACATGTCCACAAGGAGTTTAAAGGGTTGCAGGCACCATGAAAACCAGTTGGTCAACAGGCTAACATGAGCACACGCACAAAGTTGAGCATGGAGCCAGTGGTCAGGTCACTCCCTGCACCAAGAGACCTGGCATCCCCCAAATGCCCCTGACTCTTACCTCTTCCCGCAGCATGGTGAACAGGAAGTTCATGAGGACTGCATGTTTGCGAGGATATTTCTGACACAGGGCACTGATGGCCTGGACAACCACCACCTGAATGAAATAAACATGCATGAGCAGCAGGCCCTGACACCAAGATGGGGTGACTCAGTGCCCTGAGTGCCCACTGAGTCCTTCCTTTGGTAAGGCCAGGCCTTGGGCATGACACAAGGGCAAGGAGACCAGAGGAACTCAACTCCACGCTTGTAAGGGCACAATTCCTGAGCCCACCCAGGGCAGTGCCAACAGCCCCAGTGTCAGACTCTCAGACTCTGGGTCCCCCAAACTCTGCTCTTCTACTCAGGCTTCTTAAGTCTCCAAGTCCCCTCCACCCAACCTGTCCTGCTTCTCTCCCTACCACTGGCCCCCACTGATGGTTCCCACCCATCATCTCCTCTGGTTCCTCTTTGGTTAAGCCTGTCTCTGGGGTATTCTGTCCTTGGCTGCTTCTCTTCTCACAGTCTCTTCGGCAATCTTATCCCCTCCCATGGCTTTAACCACCTCTTATATGCCACTGACTCCCAATATTTATTTCCTGTCTGAGCTCAAGACCTGCCATTTCCAACTGCCTGCAAGATAACTCAACCTCGTACCCATAGCACTTCAAACTCCACATGTCTGCAACCACAATCATCTCCATCTCCTTCCCCTTCCCTCATCCAATACCCCATCTTTTCCTCCTCCCACAAACTAGTCAAGAGCACCACTGTCAGCTCAAAGTAGAAAATAGCATCATCTCTGTTGACATCCACTCCTCAACCCTCATACCAACCCTGCCAATAGGCATTATTCCTCAAAAAGCTCTTGCGCTGTCCCTCCTCTCCTACTCCCACTGGTTCAGGCGCCATCCTCTCCTTCTGAATTACTCCAACAGTCTCTTTGCCCAGTCACCCCTCCACTCTGCTCCGGAAGCACTTTTTTTTTTTTTTTTTGGGGGACAGAGTCTTGCTCTGTCTGGAGTGCAGTGGCACGATCTCAGCTTACTGCAACCTCCACTTCCCAGCCAGGTCAAGCAATTCTCCTACCTCAGTCTCCGGAGTAGCTGGGACTACAGGTGTGAGCCACTGTGCTGGCTAATTTTTGTACTTTTTTAGTAGAGACAGGGTTTCACCATGTTGGCCAGGCTGATCTCAAACTGCTGATCTCAAGTGATCTGCCGACCTCAGCCTCCCAAAGTGCTGTGATTACAGGTGTAAGCCACCGCGCCCAGCCAATTTTTTTTTTTTTTTTTTTGAGACGGAGTCTCATTCTGTCGCCCAGGCTGGGGTGCAGTGGCCGGATCTCAGCTCACTGCAAGCTCCGCCTCCCGGGTTTATGCCATTCTCCTGCCTCAGCCTCCCGAGTAGCTGGAACTACAGGCGCCTGCCACCTCGCCCGGCTAGTTTTTTGCATTTTTTAGTAGAGACGGGGTTTCACCTGCACATTAGCCAGGATGGTCTCGATCTCCTGACCTCGTGATCCGCCCGTCTCGGCCTCTAGGATTACAAGCTTGAGCCACCGCGCCCGGCCTTTTTTTTTTGAGACAAGGTCTCACTCTGTCACCCAGGCTGGAGTGGCAGTGACATGATCATGGCTCACTGCAGCCTTGAACTCCTGGTCTCAAGTGATCCTCACACCTCAGCCTCCCAAGTAGCTGGGACTACCTGGCATCACCATATATGGCTAATTTTTAAAAAAAAATTTTGTGGCCGGGCGCGGTGGCTCAAGCCTGTAATCCCAGCACTTTGGGAGGCCGAGACGGGCGGATCACGAGTTCAGGAGATCGAGACCACCCTGGCTA